TTCTGAAGTGAGAGGTTGCCTTAACCAAGGAGCACAAATTCAAGTATAATTGATGGGTATGGAAGTCTTCAATTTTTTTCAGTTAGAATAAGAAACAAGGTTATCATTTAAGAGTAAAGGTAGAAAGAAGGTTCAAAGGGGACAGAGGAGAAAAAAAAAATGTTGAAAATTTACCAAAATCAGTCCAAAGAGAAAGTGAGCTAGAATAAAAAAAGAGAAATTGTATGTTTGTTTTTTTTTTTTTTTATGATAGCCACAGAGAGAGAGAGAGAGAGAGAGAGAGAGAGAGAGAGAGAGAGGCAGAGACACAGGCAGAGGGAGAAGCAGGCTCCATGCACCGGGAGCCCGACGTGGGACCCGATCCCGGGTCTTCAGGATCGCGCCCCGGGGCAAAGGCAGGCGCCAAACCACTGCGCCACCCAGGGATCCCAAATTGTATGTTTTGTAAACCAAGGGAAGATGATGTTTCAAAAAGAATGTGGTCAAAGGGGATCCCTGGGTGGCGCAGCAGTTTAGTGCCTGCCTTTGGCCCAGGGCACGATCCTGGAGACCCGGGATCGAGTCCCGCGCCGGGATCCCTGCATGGAGCCTGCTTCTCCCTCTGCCTGTGTCTCTGCCTCTCTCTCTCTCTCTGTGACTACCATGAATAAATAAAATCTTAAAAAAAAAAAAAGAATGTGGTCAAAGGTCTCAAGTACTACTGAAAAGCTAAAATGAGAACTGAAAAAGTCCAATCAATTTAGCGATTTGGAGGTAATTGTTAATCCTAGCAAGAATTATTTTATGGACTGATGGGATCAGGAGCCCCAGACGGAAGTATATTCTGGAGTGAGCAGAAGGTAAAGAAATAAGGATAACTTACATCTCTTGATGTAGGAAAGATGTGGAGGTTCAGACTGAACAGTCAAAAAGTCTTGAGACATCTTTGGAGCAAAAAGGTGGTTTTGTTAAAGCACAGAAATAGGACCCATGGACAGAAAGAGCTGCACTGGAGTCATGAGGATTGGCCAATTATATACTTTCAAATCGAGAGGGGGTTACGGACAGTGTAAGTCTCTGAGGAATTTTGGAAGCAAGGTTTCCAGGACCTTGAGGGGACCAGCTATGGTTTAAAAAGGTCATTTATTACTAATATAACCTGAGTCATGAGACCCTTTAGATGTATATCCATGAGTCATGCTTAGGGGATGACTGCCAAAAAATATCTTGGTGGGCACAGATAAAGGACACTTCCAGAGGTATTTTTAAAAATATTTTATTTACTTATTTGAGAGAGAGAGAGGGAGAGAGAGAGAGAAAGCATGAGCAGGGGGCTAAGCATGGAGCCCAATATGGGGCTCAATTCCAGGACACTGAGATCATGATCTGAGACAAAGGCAGATACTCAACTGACTGAGCCACACAGCCGCCCCTCCAAAGGTATTTTTTATGTTTAAGTAGACTTCTAGGATTCTGGAGATAGGCAAAGGTCGCCTTTTAACCTTAGCAAAGTATTAATATTGAGGCAGCTGAGTTCATACAGGAATGTTAGCCTGTCTCAAGTGTTTATTAATAGGCTGGCTATAAGTAGTAATGGAATTTAATTTTTCTTTTGCCTTTGCTTCCCATATCAAATCTTTACAAGTTTGCTGTGAAGGAAGTGAATGCTTTAGCTAAAAATTAGGAAAAGAATTCATAGAACTCAATTGCAAAAAATATATACAATAATAATTTAATTAAAAATGAGCAGAAAATCTAAGTAGACATTTTTCCAAAGAAGACATACTGATGGCTAGCAGATAAACAAAAAAGATGCTCAACATTACTAAACTTCAGAGAAATGCAAATCAAAACCACAATGAAATATCACTCACTTTTTAGAATGGCTATTATCAACAAACAAACAAGAAATAACAAGTGTTAGCATGGATGTAAAGAAAATGGGATCCCTGTGCCATGTTGGCAGAAATGTATACTGGTATAGCCCCTATGGAAAACAGTATGGGGGCTCCTCAAACAATTAAAGATAGAACTACTATATGATCCAGTAATTCTACTTCTGGGTATTTAGCTGAAGAAAACTAACTCAAAAAGATATGTGTATCCTCAAATCCACTGCAGCAGTATTTACAATAGCCAAGATATAGGCTAAACAACCTATGTATCCCTGAATGAATGAATGAATGAGTATAATGAAGTATTTTGAATTATTTTTCAGAAATAAAAATTTGTGGCAAAACAGATGGCTCTCGAGGGCATTTTGCTAAGTGAAATAAGTCAAACAGAGAAAGACAAATGCCATCTGATCTCACTTATATGGGGCTCAAAAACAAAAGAAAGCAAAACCAAGCTCACAGATACAGAGAATAGATTGATGGTTGCCAGAGGCAAGAATGGAAGATGGGAGAAACTGGTCAAGGGTGTCAAAGACATAAACTTCTAGCAATAAAATCAATAAATCCTGGGGATATAATGTATTGCATGGTGACTATAGTTAAAAGTTGCTAAGAGAGATCTCAAAAGTTCTCTTCATAAGAAAAGTCTTGTAACTATGTATGATGAATGTAAACTAGATTTATTGTGGTGAACATTTTGCAGTATACAAACATATCATTATGCTGTATATCTGAAACTAATACAATGTTCTATATCAATTGTATCTTAAGTAAAAAAAAAAAGAAAAGAAAAATAAAAGGAGTAAATTCCTTTTTCAGATTGGTTCTCCAAGGCATTCCAGAAATAGTAGAAACAGGGCCCGGGAGTTCTCCTGGCTTCATAAGAAAAAATAGGGAACTCAAACATTGAAAGGAATGTCCAAATAGACACATGGCTAAGTGAGGTAGAGAGATACCAACTAAAGGCCAAAGAGGGGAAAGCTACTCTTGCCTGAAAGGGTATGCAGTGATAGAAGGGGAATTGATGAATATGAGACCCCAAGAAACCACATTAGTAGAGGCTTCTATCACCAGAATCAAAATCAGAGTGAGATAAAGAACCAACATTTGGTCAATGAAGAAAGATACTCCCAGCCTCTAACTTTCTCTCCTACTCTGTAGTGAAGAAAATCAAAACTAAAACATTATATGCTAGTAGAGCCACAGTTTTGAGACTATGTGCTGAGGTATCCCAGGTGTCCCAGCTATCCCACAGGGGTGCTGTGGAATTTTTTTAATAGGGTTTGAACTCATGACCCCAAGATCAAAACTGAGCCAGCCAGACGCCCTGCTATGGAGTATTTTATATATTCGAGGGAAACAGCAATCCTATCTGCCAGACACTACATGAAACCCCAGCTTGAAATAGTTTTGGATTTAAAAATTTTTGCAAAGCTGGGTTGTTTTTTTTTTTTTTTTTTTTTCTGTTGTTTTGATAAAGAACAAACGCCTCTTGAGAATCTGGGTGGAACAGGAAGCAAGGAGGCACCAAGGGATGCTGTTAAGAAAGCAAAACAAAACAACACTACTAAGACAATAAATGCACCATTACCTAAGGAAGTTTGGGAACCTCTGTGGTATCCCAGGCATCCCAAGAAAAGAAAGAGAAATGTGCAACACAGAGCAGACCACACTCACTTCTACTCAAAGGTGGGAGAAATGAAAGCAAATTAATCTCTCTCCTCTTAGGTGAAGCCTGATATGAGAAGAGGGTAAAAATTGAGGCCTGAACGTAAAATCCGGAGTCAACATTTCGAGCCCCCCAGGACTATTAACTGGAAAGGACTAAGAAATCATGAAATCTGCCTAAACTATTGACAAGACATGGGTAAGACAGATTTAAGTCAGTACAACTGAAAGTAATTAAGTGGAGAGAGAAAATTCTGCCCCTTTACTATCCCGAAGAGTTGTGATGTCTCAATCATAGTAGAGAAGGACCCTTAAATTTATTTTGATGGCCTATGAAGCAATTCTTGACCAAAAGAGGCAGTTATAAATATTAAAGTTAATCCATTCCCACATTCATTCGCTGAACATATATGTCTATTATATGCTAATCATTTTACTGATGGTAAAAGACATGGACAAAAGCCCACAGAGGATAGTGTTTAGCGTAGCATGCCTTCTCCAATCAGTTTATCCCTCTATCCTGTCTCTGCCTTTTTTCCTTCAAAGAATAATCTCCAAAGGAATTTACTCACTTACTTACAGGTTATGGTCTATCTAGAGTGTCAGGGCCAAGAGAGAAAGGATTATTATCTTGGTCTTCCCCTCTCCTCCATCTCTCCACATTGGGATGCTTCATAAATCAATACTGGGTCCCTGTCTCCCTGCCTACAATACCTCTTATCTTTGAATATAAGTATTATATGTGTTGATGCTGTACGTGTATCCTGTTGATACTTCTCTAGAATACCAAATGTACATCCAGTTGCCTTCTTGAAACACAGGCACTGAATAGGTACTTTAGCTCTAATGCATACTCCTCCCTCTCCTACCCTTCACTGCAGTCCCTAATCTAGGGCTCCCTAGTGCCTCTTCTCATGCTCAACAGAGCATCATCATCCACCCAGACGGTGACAGTTTGAGAGGCTCAAGCCAAAACCCCAGAATTATCCTTAATTACTTTTTTCCACCTATAAGTCTATCAATTCTACTTCCAAAATGTATCTCAATTCCAATAGAAATTGGAATTTCTCTATATCCACAGTTACTAAACTATTTCAAGCAACGTTTTTTGGCCAGACTACTGTAGTAGTCCAACTATCTTCTGGCTTCTACTCGGTTTTTTACAACTGTAACCAAAGAGAAATGTTCATGTCCAAAATTTAATCATCTCTCTCTCTCTCTCTCACACACACACACACACACACACACACACACACACACACACACACACACGCGCGCGCGCCTATTAGAAAAATCTGTCTGTTTCCAATTACTCTCCAGATAATCAAGGCTCCAAACAAACCTACAGGGCCATCAGGGTCTGGCTTTACCTGACCTTTGGGGGTTTTCCCATGTTTTTATCTGTTTCTATTAATGTCTGTCCCTCCTTTGCTTCTCAAACAAGGCGCCATGAAAGCAGAAGTTTGACACAATGTTTACTGTAGCATCTTTAACATCTAATTAGGAAGAAAACACAAAGCGCGGGCCGAGGCCCCCGGGTCTGCGGGCCGTGGCTACCCGAGCGCGAAGAGCCGAGGCCGAGGGGGCCTCCCCGGGCCCGCAGGCCCTCACTGTACCCGGCGGGGCCGGCTGCGCATGCAGCTCCAGGGCAATCTCGGCTTCACCGCGGGCGGGCGGACACGAGGCGCAGGGCGGGCGGGGGCGCCGGCCGGTCCCGCTAGCAGCTCGGACGTCCGCCTGCCGCCTGCCGCCTGCCGGCCATGCGGCTCCAGGTCTCGGAGCATCAGTATCCTCAGCGCTAAGACGGGGACACGTCGGCGCCTTTTAAGGTTTTATGAGAATCAAGTATGTGAAGATCCATCTATCGATTAATTTATCCATAGGATTCTCTGGGCAGCCCGGGTGGCCCAGCGGTTGAGCCCCCTGCCTTCGGCCCCAGGGCGTGATCCTGGGGTCCCGGGTTCGAGTCCTGCGTCGGGCTCCCGGCATGGAGCCTGCTTCTCCCTCCGCCTGGGTCTCTGCCTCTCTGCGTCTGTGTCTTTCATGAGTAAATAAAACCTTAAAAAAAAAAAAAAACGGATTGTCTATAGTCATTAGGCTGCCAGTCCGTGAAAGGAACACTGAGCTGAGCCTATTCAACGGCTGCATGCACGACGATTCTTGCTCCTTTTGCTGAGCTCGGCCTGCGGGGAGGGAGCCCGCCCTCTTGAGGCTCCACGCGGCCCCGACGCCGCCCCGGCCCTGCCCGCGCCCTGCCCGGCCGTGCCCGCGCCCTGCCCGCGCTCTCCCGGCGCCCTGCCCGCGCCCTCCCGGCGCCCGCCCGCCGCGGCCCGGCACCGGGCTTCCGACCGACGCTCCGCCGCAGACCGGCCGCCGCGCCCACACGCACCGCCCCGCCGGCGCTTCCGCTCCTCGGCTTCACAACCTTCTCCTTCACGCGGCCGACGCCCCTTCCTCCTCCTCTGACAGGGTTTTAAATCCCCGCGCTTCTCTGGGGCGACGTTTCCTTCCCAATCCTTGCGCCCGCTCCCTGGAATTTAAGTCCCTTCGCCTTCCCACCGCGGTGCAACCTGGTCCTTCGCTTTAAGGAGACCGCCTCCGAAGAGGGGTCAGCCGCCCCCCCGCCCCGCCCCGCCCCGGGCGCAAGTCTCGCGAGAAGGAGACCATCTATCGCGGTACTTCCTTGTTTCCAGAATCCCTAGCGCGAGGCGGAAAAACACTCATTTCCCTCAGCCTCTGGGGCCGGGCGCTGCAAGCTCTTCTCGCGTCGCCGTCGCCGTGGGAAATGGCGGCTCCCGAGCAGCCGCTACCGCCCATGTCCAGGGGATGCCAGAGCTCCGCCTCGCTCTCTCCGCCGCGGGGCGACCGGACCCTTCTAGTGAGGCACCTGCCGGCCGAGCTGACCGCCGAGGAGAAAGAGGACTTGCTTAAGTACTTCGGGGCTCAGTCGGTGCGCGTCCTGTCGGATAAGGGACGGCTGGTAAGGGCGCGCCGGTCCCGCGCTCCGGAAGGCCCGCGGCTGCGGGCGCCTCGGGGGGGGCGGGGGGGCGGGGGGGCGGGGGGGGCGGCTGTGACAGCTGGAGGCCGAGCCGAGTGCGGAAGTGCGCCTGTGGAGCAGGGTCGTGCCCGTCCGCGCTCACGTCCAGACGTCGTGAGGCCGCGGGAAGCTGCGGGGGCTGGCGCCTGTGCTCGTCACGGCGCTGTCGGACCGGGCGGCTGAGAGTCGGGGCCCGAGGAGGCCGAAGGGCGTCTTCCCTCCCCTCACCCCCCGGGGGAATCTCCACACTCCTCCGAGTTTGAGAGCGTTTCCTTTGGACTCCGAGTACTCTCGGGGATGAACTACAAAGAAATGTCGATTCACTTGTTAGCAGCTGTTAAGACAGTCATTAAAGTAGAGGAGAAAGTACAGTAGAAACCTCAGTAAACCGGGTAACAGCATTTCTACTAGATGTTTTAGGAAAAAAATTCTTCGTGAAATTTTTGACGGAATCCGTTGGAATAGTATTTTAAGGTTTCTACGTAGGTATTTACGGGATTATTCTATTTACTTTCATATCCGAAGATGTTTTAGGTGGATTTCTCTCCGTTACACTAGTAATGAGGATGTTAAGTTTCTGCCAGATAGTCTGTGCAAAATATCAGTGGTTTTAGTCTTCTCACGTGGTTCTGGTATGAACCAGCGTTAAGTACCGGGAAGACTGACCACTTGTGATCAAAGTGTCAAGTACACCAGCAAATACTAATATTCTCTGTCGTTAATGTAAGTACTCTTAATGAGGTCATCTTGGATCAGAGTAGACGAAATTAGAATGTGATATAATTACTCAAGCAACTTGTAAATGCTTTAATAAGCTCTAGTAACATTATCCGTAGCATAATGATTCATTTACTCTCGACTTACCTTTTTTTTTTTTTCTGATGGCTTTTACACTATTTACAATTTATATTTAAAAATACACTTCTCCCATTGAATCCTTATTACAGGGATAAAGCACAAAGGAACTATGCACTTAGGAATGCTTTTTTGTTGACAAACATTTTTAAACTTTGCATTTGGCTGTACAGAAGTACGCTTAAGATCTTTAGATGTATTATAAATTAAAGATCTTTTGTATATTGGGATAGTTTAAAGGCCATCCTCTGTGTATAGTAGGGGTTTTTAAACTTCTGGTCTGTTAAACTATTTGAAAACATATATAAAACATGCTGTATAAGTGTGTACACCTTTATTTTTTTTTAAAAGGTTTTATTTATTCGTAAGAGACACTGAGAGAGGAAGGCAGAGACACAGGCAGAGGGAGAAGCAGGCTCCATGCAGGGAGCCCAATTCAGGACTTGATCCCAGGACTCTGGGATCACGAAGTGAGCCCAAGGCTGTAACCGCTGAGCCACCCAGATGCCTCTGTGTATACACCTTTATATAAGAGCCTCCATAGCTATCAACTGAAGGAACTCTGATTCAAAAAAGATTCAGAACTACAGTGCTGAAATTAATGAACAGTTACAGTGATCCGATTTTCCATGACTTTATTAATTTGTGAAATAAATAACTGTCAGCTGGTAAAATCAGACTTCTTATGAGAAAATGAAATTGTATTAGAAATAATTTGTTCGGGATCCCTGGGTGGCGCAGCGGTTTGGCGCCTACCTTTGGCCCAGGGCACGATCCTGGAGACCTGGGAATGAATCCCACATCGGGCTTCCGGTGCATGGAGCCTGCTTCTCCCTCTGCTTATGTCTCTGCCCGTCTGTCTCTCTCTCTCTCTCTCTCTCTCTCTCTCTCATAAATTAAAAAAAATTAAAAAAAAAGAAATAATTTGTTCCTTAATTCTTTTTCAGAAACATACAGCTTTTGCTACTTTCCCTAATGAAAAGGCAGCTATAAAGGTATGACTTTATTATCATTATTAAAGTTATCAACAATTTCCTATTCACTAATGTTTGGTCAAAAGTGAGACATTGTTGAACTATGGTTTTCAAAAGCAAAAGTTTCTGTATTTCAGGAGTTTATTCCACAGACTGCATTTGGTTTATTCTCAAATCTTCCCCAAATTTTAGGTATTTAGATGTAAGAATAGATTAACTTAAAGCAAATTAAAATTGAATCGTAATTTTATATGCAAGTAAAGATAAGTTCTAAAGAATGCAAAGATTAATAACTCTTTAACTGCCACAGATGTTTTCAGTATTAAAGGGAACATACATTAAAAAATAAATCCTAGAGATTCATTCACAAAGGAGGTGACATTTGAGGTAGACCTTTAATGATTAGTTGGATTTTGAGCAGAAAACAAAGGGAGATGGGCCTGTCAGGTGGAGAGAACACTTAAGTGAAGCTATAGGGCACGAAAAGTTGTAAGAGCAAAAACTTAAGGGTTGAGATGGAACTAGGACGTGGAAAGTAGGTTGAATTTAAATTTGGGTGGGAGGAAGGGATTGAATTTTTAGTAGATACTACTTCCGGCATGTGCACATATAGTCACAATTTGAGCTGCACAATATGGTCAGGCCTGTGAAAGATGTGGTAGATTAGATGTGGAAAAGATGGGAGGTAGGAAGGCCAAGTGGAAATTCAAGATAAGAGAACTCTTATAATGGCCAAGGCAAGATAAAGGATCCTAATAAATCAAGAAAAAGGCAAAGGGAAGAAGTAGGTATATACCTGATAGAGATTGAGTTTGCAGGCCTCGTGATCCCTATTGATACACAGCTTAAGAAAGGGAATACTTAAGATTTTTGGACTGAGGTATTGGGTTATTACATTAGCTGACAGGGCAGGATTCGGAGGATGTTTGCAAAGGTAGGTAATGAATTCAGATGTTAACTTTGAAGAGTCATTAAGCTACTTCTATGGAAAAATTTTTTAAAGATTATTTGTTTGAGATGGACTCATAGAGCATGAGCAAGGGGAGGGGCCGAAGGAAGGAGAAGCAGACTCCCTGCTGAGTGGAGAACCCTACAGGGGACTGGATCCCAGGAACTGAAGTCAACCGCTTAACCAACCGAGTATCCCAAGCACCCCAGAATATTTTTGATGCAGTTAAAAAATATGGCTCTATTGCTGAGACAAGGTCAAATATGAAGTATCTTGAATCAGATGAATGGATGTGGTGGTTGTCCAAGGGAAGATGAGCCAGGAAAGGAGAATGAGAGGGAGAAATTCAAAAAGGAAGTAGAACTAGGGAAAAAAAATTATGGTTGAGAAGAGAAGAGAGTTTTCACAAGATGAGATCTTGTGATGACACAAAATAGGGAACAAATAGTGTATCAATAAAGGATTTTTTTTTTTATTGTGAAACAATAGAAGTCACCCAAATTCTCATCAGTAAGGGGGAAGGGATACCTTTATTCCTAGGCTGGACTACTGTTGGAGAATGAGGTCAAATGATTATGTATTAATAAGTAATGTAGCCTAGGTAAAGTACATGAATAAAGTTGACAACACATTATGTATGAGATGTAACATTGGCTTTTTGGAAATCCAGTAGTACATATGTTGGTTTATGCCTAGGAAGAAAATGTAGCAAAGCTGTGTACCAAATGGTTAATAAATGTCTTTCTGTCAAGGAGGGATTATAGAAGACTTTCACGTTATATATATATTTTTAACATACAGGTTCCCCCCCCCCGCCCCCAGAAAAGATTCTTATATATATAGCATAAGATGTTATAAATAAAATATGGCAATGAAACCCATATTGTTTTATGGTCAAGATTAACTTAGAGGAGAGGGTATGGAGCCAGTGTCTTTGGGAAATGTTTATAGTAGAGAAGGAATGAGAAGATGATAGCATCAATATGGTGTTTCAGTTACAGTGCATGTGACTGATAGATTTTTTTAAAAACCAGGGTTTAAGAATAAAGTAGCTGAGAGAACTGAGGAAATTAGTTAACAGTAAAAATGAAAAGTCATATATCCTGAAAGAGAATAGGTGTGATACCCATTTTGCAAACAAGAAAGTTGAAGTAATTAGAGCTTAGATGCCTTTTATTTCAGACAATCGAAGATTCACTGATAATGAAGAGGTCTAGAGTTGATTTAGGGACTTGAAAAATATTGAAACATTTTATTTTATTTTTTTATTGAAACATTTTAAAATGAAAGAATCAAATAAGGATACATAAGCATAGTAAAACAAAATTATCGTCCCAATTAAGGCTTATAGTTCAATTTATTCAAAAATATGAAATGCTTACAATATGCTAGATGCTGCTTTAGGTCTTGGGATAAATCCATGAATAATATTTACAAAAAAATAGATAAACACTTACATCCTCATTGGGGCTAACATTCTCAAAAAAAAGGCAGATTATAAATAATAAACTTGTTTACTATTTTAGAACATGTTAAATACTGTGAGGTAAAAAGGCAAAAGAGCAATAGGATAAAGAGTACAAGATGGGGATAGTTAAGTTGCAGTTAAGGTGTTTAGGGTCATAGTTGAGTAACAATTTGAAAGAGTTGAAGTTAGCTAAAGAAATATATGGGGAAAGTACATTCCAGTCAACGTAATGACTGGAACAAGGGCACTAGGGTAAGAGAATGCCTGTCGTGTGCAAGTAAGCCAGAATGGCATAGGCAGACAGAATGAGGGGGATGTAGTTAGAATTTAAGGTCAGAGAATAAGAGACCATTTCATGTAGGTACTCTAAAGATCCTGGATTTTATGCTGAATAAAATGGGGAGCTCTTGTAGTATTTTGAGCAAAGCAGTAACATAATGTAACATCTTTTTTTTTTTTTTACATTTTTTTAAAGATTTTATTTATTTATTCATGGGGGAGGGGCAGAGGGAGAAGCAGGTTCCATGCAGGGAGCATGACGTGGGATTCGATCCCAGATCTCCGGGATCAGGCCCTGGGCTGAAGGCGGCGCTAAACTGCTGAGCCACCCGGGCTGCCCTAATCTAACATATCTTTAAAAGGATGTTGTGTTGAGAAGAGATGGGAGACAGGGACGAGTAAAAACAGGGAAATCTGTAAAAAAGTTATGGTAATTTAGCTCAGAGATGATGGCTTTTTAGACTGAAGTAGTAAGAAGTGATTAGATTCTGGATATATTTTGAATGTAGAAGCAAACAATTTCTTGATGGCTTGGATATGCAATATGGGAAAGAAGTCTTACAGATGATTCCAATATTTTTGACAGGAGTAAGTGAAAGAACGGCGTTACCATCAACTGAAATATGAAAGGCTCCAGATAGAAAACATTTGGGGGGATGAGGAGAGAACATAGCGGTTCAATTTCTGAAGTGTCAATTTTGAGATGTTTGTTAGACACGTAAGGAGAGCTGTCTGTTACGTTTTCTTGGAGTTTAGGACAGGCTTGGGCTGAGGTTATAAATTAGGGAATTAGGAGCAATGTGGGCATGGAATTTAAATTTAGGATGGTGATTAGATCACTAAGAGAGCTAGAAAGAGGACCAATAATAGAACCCTGGAGTATGCCAACTTTCAGACTTCAAGAAGGCACAAACCAAGAGATCACAGTAGAAGCCAGTGAGCTAGGAAGAAAACTGCAGGAAGTATGTGTTGACATCAAGCAAACAACATGTATAAAGGAGAGAGCAATCAACTGTATTAAATGCAACAAAATGAAGATGGAAAGTAGACCATTGCTTTGGCAGTACAGAATTTGTCATCTTTGACAAACAGTGCCAGTGGACTGATGATATGACATAAGGCTTATTGAAATGAGTTGGAGACTGCTTGGGAGGAGAGGAGTTTTAGGTAAAAGACTTGGCTAACTTTTGTTTTTTAAGATTTTATTTATTTGAAAGAGAGAGTGTGCACATGAATTAGAGAGCACAAGCAGTGGAGAGAGAGAGAAGCGGGCTGCCCATCCAGCAGGGAGCGCGGTGTGGGGCTTGATCCCAGGACTCTGTGATCATGAACTGAGCCACCCAGTTCCCCCGGCTTAGATAATTCTTAAGGAGTTTTACTGCAACTGTAATTGAAAGGAGGGTAGCAAAATGGGATCAATAGATGAATAAAAACAAATTAGTATGGGAGAAGTTAGAAGCATATTTGTATGCTAATATGGATGATTCCGTATTCCCAGAAAATTAACAATGTACTTAAAAACACTCCCCATACAGAGTGGAAGAGAGACTCTTGAGTAGATGGAGGGTGGGATTTAGTATACAAGTCAAACAATTAGATTTAGGTAAAAACTTGGATAGTTAATACTTTAACAACAGAAGGTAGATTCATTTGCTGGTAGATGGGAATTATGATGGCAATCTGAACTTCTCATCTGGTTATTTCAATTTTCCCAAAGTAGGAAGCAAAGTACTAGGCTAAAAAGGATGGGAAAGGAATGTTATGAGGTTAAGAAACCAGGAGAAAGTACAAAATAATATTCTAAGAGATTAGAAAAAATGAACTAAAAATGTAATAAGTATGGCATCATTAAGTTTCACCCCCAGATTTGCAATTGTGATCATGACTTTAAAGTGAATCTAGGCTGATTATGTTTTTCTGTTTTCAGTTGCATTCACTTTAAAGTGAATCTAGGCTGATTATGTTTTTCTATTTTCAGTTGCATAGGTGAAGAGGGATTTGGGTTTATCCAGATTTTAGTTTTGCTAAGTGGTAGGAAGCAGTCCCTTAATAAATGACAAAGGCTAAGCACCTGGCGATTAGAAATGATTAAGAGATAGCCAGAGATATATTAGCAGTATTCACAAAGATCATGTATAGATTATTTTGGAGATATTATCTAACAAATAATTTTTTATCGCAATTATCAGATATTTACTCTTGTTTTTCCAACTAAAGGCATTGACAAGACTACATCAGCTGAAACTTCTAGGTCATACTTTAGTTGTTGAATTTGCAAAAGAGCAAGATCGAGTTCATTCCCCATGTCCCCCTTCAGACCCTGAAAAAAAGAAAAGGTATGTAGTTAGGTTGTCCTAATATTTTAAAGTGTTTTTAAATCATTTGTATTGGGTTAATCAATTGGGTTTCATCAATTGGGTTGTTTTCATACTAGCAAGTAAATAACTTGACATAATAAATTATATATGTTTCTATTTAATCTAGTATATTTATTTTGTTTCTAATTGTGCACTAAGAATCTGAGTGTTCATTTAATAATAAGAATTAATCAGTGTGAAGTGGGAAGAGGGTGGGGTGAAAAGCATTCAACTTTAAGTGGAGGAATATAACTAGTATAAAGTCCTTGTTGTATTACAGACAGCAAGGTGTCATGAATAGGCATGGCCTTTGGTTCCCAGCAGTGACTCTTTGTAATTATAAAGCCTTTACAAATTTGCCCTTCCACTAGTGGTTCTCATAGTAGTCCCTGGGCTAGCTGCATTATGTAGGATCTTTATTGGAATACAGATTCTTGGACCTTACCCTAGTTCCACTGAATCTGAAATTTGAGGGGTGGAAGGGGAAGATAAGGCTCAGCAGTGTGAGTTTTAACAAATCTTCTTAGTGATTTTGATGCACATTAGAGACATTTGTGTATCACTGTTGTATACCATGTGAACTTCAGGGTTGATTTTTTTTTTTTTTTTTTTTTTTGGCGTGTGTGTGTGTGTTTTTGTTTTAATTATTTTTTGTCTGTCAGTGAAATTTATCATACCATCTTCATAGGGTTTCATTGAAGAATAAAAAGAATAAATGAAAATGTGTGCCTTGTATGTTTGGAATAGAGAAGGAATAATAAAGGTTGAATCTATTTCCCTTTCTTTTTGCTATTTGCTTGAGAAAAGGTTTAAAGTTTATTATGGAACTATTTTCATAATACCCTGTTTAAAAAGATAATATGTCTTTTCTGTATGCAATTTTTTACTCTATTTCTAAAGATAAAATCAACTTTAATTCTGTATTTTCTAGATCTGATGACCCTGTGGAAGATGATAAAGAAAAGAAAGAACTTGGTTGTATAACCATAGAAAATGGAATTGCACCAAACCATGGGTTAGAGTTTTTTCTCTGTTTTGTTGTTTCTGTTTTGTTTTGTTTTGTTTTGAGTACGTATATATAGATGTGTATATATATTGTGAATAAGATATTTCAAAGGATATTTTATTATGGCATGTATATTTTCAATATATTGATTAAATGTTTTGAGCTATTAGAGTTTATCACTGAATTTGGGTCCATTAAAATGTTCAGAGAATAAAATAAGCTCTGGTAAGAAATACCTTACTTTTCACTAGTGCAGTCAGAAAACAAGTTTCTTTTTCTTTTTTAAAGTTTTTATTTACTTGAGAGAAAGAGAATGCTCAGGCATGTGCACACGTACATGAACCATGGGGGACGTGGGCAGAGGAAGATGAAGAATCAGACAGGGAGCTGAACAAGGAGCCCAAAGGCAGCTTGATCTCAGGACCCTGAGATCATGACCTGAGCCAAAGGCAGGCACTTAACCAACTGACCACCCAGGTGCCCCAAAGCAAGTTTCTTCTTAAATGTACTTATTTGGAATTATTAGGAACAAGGTAAAAGTACTGAATTATTTGAGCAGTTATATACTTCCTTAGGTTACCTAAAAATAAGTTATTGATATGAAACTTATTTAATACATGATAAGCATTTTAAATATATTTTTTAGGCTGACTTTTCCTCTGAATTCATGCCTCAAGTATATGTACCCACCACCTTCAAGCACAATCCTAGCAAACATAGTAAATGCTTTGGCAAGTGTGCCGAAGTTCTATGTACAGGTAAGTAGAATGCAACTTACTTTCCAAAATGCTTGAATAGCTTGATAAGTTTTTTTCCGTGCTAATTTTTATACTTTTCGTAATAGTGTTTGTTAATCAGACTAATTCAGACAGGCAATGATATTACAATTATTTAAGGATATCTTCTCAGCTTGAGCTGCTATAACTAAATACCGTGGATTGGGTGGCTTATAAACAACAGAAAATTATTTCTCAGAATACTGGAGATTGGAGCTCCGAGATTAGGGTGCCAGCAAGATTGAGTTCTGGTAAGGGTCCTCTCCTGGGTTGCAAATGGCTCTTTTCTCTTTGTATCTTCACCTAGCTGAAAAGAGATGAGATAGCTCTCTGGGGTCCCTTTTATAAGAAACCCTAATCTCATTCAGAGGAGTCTATCCTTATGATTTAATTATTTCCCAAAGACCCTACCTTCTGATGCCGTCACATTGAGGGTTAGGTTTCAGCATTTGTATGTGGGTTAAGTCCATTGCAAAAGGTAATGAAATTTACTGCAGTCAAGTAAATATATATAAACTATGGTGTAAACGTACTAACGTGTAGTATGTTAATACTAATAAACATAAGCTAACTTAGGAAATAAAACTTCTGGCAATTTTTGTTACTTGAGCATATACCTTTAACGTGGAGATTCTTTCTTAAAGGAAAAAACATAATAGATCCCTCAGCAAATGCTTGAAAGTATCAACAGTAGTAAGATACTTTGAAGTACAAAATACAGGTGTTATTTATTTTCTTTAATGTACTTTTTGTTTCATAATTCCATAGTAATCAAGGGAAAGACAACATTTTGGTAGCATTTACATTGCAAGAACATGGTATTTTTAATAATGAAAATAATGAGTATTTGTAGAACTGACAAACATTTTAGGAAGGGGTAATCTTCTGAGATATACAGGTGGTGGTAATAGCCCTTTTTTGTGATAAAGCGAGAAGTGGCCAGCCTTTGCACTAAATCAGGAGTGTTACTGCAAAGTTTTAAAGTACATAAAATCTAAGATGTGAGTTGAATTATCATTTTACTATGTGATTTTCAATGTTTTGCTGCTTTAAGGTGCTTCATCTTATGAATAAAATGAATTTGCCCACACCATTTGGACCAATAACGGCACGACCTCCCATGGTAAGAAATATCTTAGAATTTTAAAGATTCATGGGGCGCCTGGGTGGTGCAGTCAGTTGAATGTCTGACTCTTGGTTTCAGCTGGGATCGTGATCTCAGGGTCATGAAATCTAGTCCTACGTTGGGCTCCATCCTCACTCTGCAGAGTCTGTTTAAGGCTGTCCCCTCACACACCCCCACCCCCTACCTCCCACTCCTGGTTAAATAAATCTTTAAAGAAAAAAAAAAAACAAACTTTGAAGGTTCAAAACTTCTCTTCTGATGTGGGATTATTGAGGCTGACCTTCTCAAATATTGTGCCACTAACCTCTAATGAGCTTTGAAATTAAGGGACAAATTTGTTTTTATGATAATAATAGTCGGTTGAAGACCTGCAACTGTAGGGGAAAGCCAGAACATGAAAGAGACGCTTTTCATATTAGAGGCTGTCATTTCTGCCAGTGTTGTTCAGTCCTTGACTCGGAACATTTTGCTATTTTATAAAATAATTACATTTAACTTAACTATGTAAAATTTCCGTTGTTCTGGTTTTATTGCATATGGAGTTTCATTTGCAGAAGACAAAAGAAAGATAGCCAATAATTTTTATATAGAATATACTATGCAGATACATCCATTTTAGATGGCAATCTGTGTCTGTTATTGAATCATTCTAGTTACTATTTTGTTATAGTCCTTACTACTTGTTTAGATAATAGCAATGAGAAAGTAATTTGAGTCCTGACACTTAAATAGAAAATTTGCTTTTCTATTATGTATTGCATATAGACTGCTTTTCTAATATATATACCATTGGCTTCATAATTTTTCTTTGTATTCCCAACACCTCAATGCCTACCTAGTACATTACAGGAATATTCATTAAGATTAGGCTAACTGCTACAAACAAAAAACTCAAATCTTAGTCACTTAAGTATATATAGCAGTATAAGTTACTTGTGCATGTCAAGTCCATTTCAAAAGTAGAGCGGAATGATGTCTTACTCTTAGTCATTCAAAAGACCTAACTTTTCTTCACTATGTGCATTCCCATATTGATGAGGGCATTACCATATATCCTGCAGATCAAGAAGGAAGAGAAGACTATGGGTAGATTTTTCTTTTTTTTTTTAATGTTAGCATTCTGTTGGCTAAAACTCAGTTACATGGTGAATCTAACTGTAAAAGAGGTTTGGAGATTTATTCCAGCTAGGTGCCAAGGAATAATAAACAAGTTTTGTGATCAACTAGCGGTCTTTCTGTATCAGGTGTTCCCTTAATATGTGTTGAATGTGTGAAAGAATATCATTAGGGAGAAAGATGAGAATAACCTATCTGAACAGAAGTGGTTTTTCTATCCTATAAATATCATGGATTACCATATGAATACCATCTTCTTTTAATTAGTATGAAGACTATATGCCATTGCATGCACCTCTTCCACCTGCATCTCCTCAGCCACCAGAGGAACCACCTTTGCCAGATGAGGATGAGGAATTATCAAGTAAAGAATCAGAATACGAAAGCAGTGATGATGAAGACCGACAGAGGTTTGTAATATCAAAGGATATTTATTTAGATTCTAAGAACAGATACAAGAAAGAGATTGTTTTTGCTCTTCTTAAATTTTGCCTGTAATTCTTCATAATTTGGGGTCATTAGAATTTTTCCCCAACTCCCCCAACCCCTCAAGCATATATAATAGGAATAGGTATAGATTAAGATCTAACGGGGGACACCTGGGTGGCTCAGCAGTTGACCATCAGCCTTTGGGTCAGATCATGATCCCAGGATTCAGGATCTAGTCCCGCACCCAGCTCCTTGTGGGAAGCCTGTTTCTCCCTCTGCCTATGTCTCTGCCTCTCTGTCTCTCATGAATAAATAAAATCTTTAAAAAAAAAAAAAAAAAAGATTAAGCTCTGAGACTATGCATCCAGACCTAAGGAAAATTTTAGATTATGAGTAATTTTTTAGATTGATAATTATGGTATTATAAAATGCAGTTAATCCTCATAATTTGTGGATTATGTATTTGGGAATTTGTCTACATGCTAAAATTTATTTGTAACCCCAAAATCAATACTTGTAGTGTTTTTATGGTCTTTTGCAAATGTGGGTATATACGCACAGAATGGTGAAAAATTGGAGTCACTTGGCATGCACATTCCTAGATGAGGTAGAGCAGGGTGACATTCTGTCTTCTTACATTAGCTCCCATATTATAAACAAGTATCCTTTTTGTGGTCTGTTCAATACCAAGCCTTTCACATTTTTATGCTGTTTTTTGGTGATTTTGCTATTTACAGTGGTCCCCAAGCAGTGGTTCCTAAGCACAGTGTTAAAAGTGCTAACGTTTCCAAAATCAAGAAGGCTATGATGTGCCTGACAGAGAAAACATGTTAGATAAGCCTTGTTCAGACTTGAGTTATAGTGCTGTGGATTATGAATTCAGTGTTAGTGAATCAACGATACGTAAAATAAGGTGTCCTTAAGCAGAGACAGATATGAAACAAGGTGTGTGGGGTGCCTGGGTGTTCCAGTCGGTTGAGTGTCTGCCTTCAGCTCAGGTTGTGATCCCAGGGTCCTGGGATGGAGCCCCACATCGGGCTCCCTGCTCAGCGGGACCCCTCTTCTCCCTCTGCCTCTGCCGTTCGCCCTGCTGGTGCTCCCTGGTGCTCTAAATAAATAAAATCTTTTTTTTTTTAAAAAAAAAAAGGTGTGTATTGATCAGTTGGTGAAATTCTAGAGCATAGGCTTGCAGGTCCCAATCCTGACTTTCCCCTAGGGGCATTGATTCATTATTCACTAATTATTTATGGAGATTTATAAAATATAACTATCTCAAATAATAAGAATAAGAATAGATTATATTCATATTTTTTCCAGCTTATTCCCCTAAATTTTATTCACCTCAGAATAAATTTCCAGAGCATTTCTGTGGGATTTTATACAAAACAATTCGTACTAATGCAGATTAACTTTTTTATCGATGGTTCTTGACAAACTACATATATTTTATTTAAATATTCTGGTGGGGATCCCTGGGTGGCGCAGCGGTTTGGTGCCTGCCTTTGGCCCAGGGCGCGGTCCTGGAGACCCGGGATCGAATCCCATGTCGGGCTCCCAGTGCATGGAGCCTTCTTCTCCCTCTGCCTGTGTCTCTGCCTCTCTCTATCTCTGTGTGTGACTATCATAAATAAATAAAAATTTTAAAAAAATAAATATTCTGGTGAAAAGCAGTAAGTTATTAGTAATGTTTAGATGTGTAATCCACAGCATAGCCTAGAACAGGAATTGCTAAACATTTTCTGTATAGGGCTAGGGTTTTGTTTTAATAGGAAAGCAGCTATAGGCAATACCAAGCGAGTGAATATGGCTGTGTTTCAGCAAAACTTTCTGTTTACAAAGAGGTAAACAGAATTCAGCTGGCTGAATTTGGTCCTAGGGCTATAATGATATAATTGATATCCTCTAGCCTAGAAGACTACTCTGGGCATATGAAGGGAATCCTTTCTTTTCTTTTCTTTTTTTTTTTTTTTTTTCTTTTTTGAGATTTTTCAAATTTTTAAGTGATTGTTAGACCCAGTTTGGGGCTCGAACTCACAACTCCAAGATCAAGTGTCACCAACTGAGCCAGCCAGGCACCCCAAATGATGAGAATCTTAGGTAACTGTATAGAAGTCAGACACAGGAAGTGGTTGATAGGAGTCAAAACCCAAGCAGAGAATCCAGGCAATATTTACAAATAATCAGCAACAATGTGGCTATTATCTCGTCACTGATAACTTAAGCACTGGCTCAATAGACATTCCTTTTGGAGAAAGAGTTAAAAATATAGGTGGTGCCAAAACTACAAAAATGGTGTGAATAGAGGCGTTTAGGAAAGCTGGCAGTTCTTGATAGACTGTAACTTTAACTTGTTTCTAAGTAAACAACATTATAAAGTATTGCGTTGGGTTAATTACATAATCTCAATAAATTTTACTTTCTTTATAAAAATGATAGTAATCAGGAATGCTTTATGCAGACTGGCCAAAATCTTTTTTGTTTTGCTTTATTTGGGTTTCTATTTAGGGATGTAGTGAGGAATTCTGCAAGTAATTCATCTTAAGTAATGAGAATAGAATCCTTGCAAGAAACAATCTCTGGTTTCATGCTTTTCTACTATCTTCTGGAAATTTAAAAAACAAAACATATTATTCAGCAAATATTTATCTTATGGCGGGCACTGTTGAGAGACTTAGTATATTTTGGGTGAGCAATTCATGAGTAGAAACATGTTTTGTATAATTAGATTTATTCATAAAATTTTGGGTAAACCTTGATCATTAAAGAACCTTACAAATGTATAACGTGTTTACATTTTTTTTGTCATTTAGTTTAAAGCTTATTTTAACCAAATTCATGTTTATATTTTTTCCTCACTTGGGTTTAAAGCTTATTTTAACCACATTCTCCTTTCTTGCATTTTGTTTGCATGTTTATTTTGCTTTTAAATTCCACAAATGTAACAGAAATAGAGCTGTGACTACTGATTTTGAGCTTGTGCTCAGTGGAAACACTGTATCTGATTCTGTGGAAGATACAAAAATGCCTAGACAAGATCTATTTGAAATATCACACATAATGAGGATAACAGAAATAGAGCTGTGACTACTGATTTTGAGCTTGTGCTCAGTGGAAACACTGTATCTGATTCTGTGGAAGATACAAAAATGCCTAGACAAGATCTATTTGAAATATCACACATAATGAGGATAAACTGGGTACAATGTATTAATTACCACACCTTGATAATTACTTATAAAAAGCAACTTCAGAGTATAGTATTGAAAACTTTGTTCTTAAGTAAGTTATCTTGTTTGTGTATTGATTCATGTGCAACAATTACGAAAATGCTTTAAAATAAAAATAACTTCAGCTTAGGCTCTTTTTAATTAGAATAAGAATCAAAATAATCATACTGTATTTGTAAGGTATTTTGAATATCAGTCAAGAAAAGTAATAAAGTTACATATGTTACTATATCCTGTTCAACTTTTTGGCATCAAATGCAGCCATTTTATTTGGACAACTAATAATTTTCATAATAATACATATCTTTAACAGATAAATGGAGAAGCACCTGGGTGGCTCAGTTGGCTGAGCATCTGACTCTTGATTTCTGCTCATATCATGCTCTCAGAGTTGTGAGATAACTTCTCATTGGGCTCCGGGAGGCTACTTAAGATTCTCTCTCCCTTCTCCTCCTCCTGCTTGTGTTGTGCGCAGAGTGCCGTGTGTGTTTGTGTGTGTGTGTGTGTGTGTGTCCCAAATAAATCTTTAAGAAACAAAAAGATAATTGAAACTAAGTAAATGACCAGTTCCTTTTAAAGTAAAATGAAAGTTGGCCAAGGAAATTTAGAACTTGAGCTTATTTTAAATTATCTTAATTGATGGTTTAGAAACTATACTTCTATGTAAATCCTATCTTATTATGTAACATGTATAATTTATAGTTTAATTATACTATATGCTTCTACATGAAGAATTTCTGTTTTTACTTACTCTTTTCATAATGTAGAATGACCAAACTAATGGAATTAGCAAATCTTCAGCCCAAAAGACCAAAAGCAATAAAGCAGCACCATGTGAGAAAAAAACAAAAAATAAAGGATATGTTGAAAACACCTTCATCTGCTTCACATGGGTAATTTTGTTTTGAATTCTGAAATAAGATTTTTCTGTATAATTTGTCTATTTGCTTAACTTGTGTCATTTATAAACAATTACGGCAGACATTTTACTTGCCTGTTTGCCATGGAATTCTATGTACTTTAATGATCACATAAAATTAATATTAATTGCAATTTTAATTTCATTTAGCAATTCTACAATGTAAATTTCACTCGAATTTGTAAGTAACTTCATAAATTGAGAATGGGTTTGTTAGAAATCTTTTTTCCCTTTTAAAGTAATGTCTTTAATCTGTGTTTTTTAAAATTTAACATTAAGTATAAATATGATCTATGTTTCTCACCTATGTATGTCTAATACTGCAATCCCATGCTTTTGATCTCTATAGCAACACTGAACAGTTAAAAATAACGTGAACCAAATTCAGTTTTCCAGTAGCCACATTAAAGGAGTAACAAAAAAAATAAAATAAAAATAAAAATAAAAAATAAAGGAGTAACAGGAAGCAGATGAAATTAATTTTGATAATATATTTTATTTAACCCATTATATCCAAAATATTTCAGCATATAATTAATATAAAAATTATTGATATGTCACCTTTTTTTGTACAGAGTTGTTATAAGTCTAGTGTGTATTTTATGTACTTATATTTTAATTTGGCAGCTATATTTCAGGTGCTCATTAGCCATACATGTGGCTAGTGGCAATTCTTTCAGAGATATAGCTTTTTTATATAGTACACAGTACATAAAAATGCTTATATTAAACATAAAATGAATGTCTTTGTATATTGGTAAATATCCTTAAGTTTGGATTCATTAGTCCCCAGGTACTGTTTCTGTCATTAGTGAGTGATATCCCTTAATCTTATAGTCTTCTAGTCTAAATAGTAATTTAACAGTATTCATATTAGAAAATTTGTTGGGGTTTCTTGAAGTGGTAAATATAAGTTTGTGCAATGCCTATAGTATTATGAATACTTTGTCAGTGTTAATTTAAGGTAAATATGAGTAATGTTTTACTCAAGATTTTATTTGCATTTGCAAAATAATGTTGTCACTATTTATAAACAGCAGTTTACATCCAGTGCTGTTACCTTCGGATGTATTTGACCAACCACAGCCTGTAGGTAATAAGAAAATTGAATTTCATATATCTACTGACATGCCATCTGCATTTAAGAAAGATCTAGAAAAAGAACAAAATTGTGAAGAACAAAGTTATGGTGAGTATATTCTAGTTGTTTATATGCTATGTAAAAATTCTTCTCATTCTGCCTTTTTGTTAGAATTAAATTTTAAAAATACGCAGTTAGTCTTTTTTAATATGGAATACTGTCCATTTTGAACTTTTTCATATAACTAAAAAAAATGCTTAATGATGAGACCATCACTGTTGCCTTTTGCTAGTAATGAACTTCAGGTTGAAATTTAGTCTGGTTTTTGTTGTTTACACTAAAGATGCAATAGAACAATTATTTTTTTTTCATTGTTAGATGTGATATTCTGTGGCTTTATTAGTATATTTATATTATTGCTAAGTAAACAAGCAATGTGACTATTGTGTGTATTGTAGATTTAATGTAAATTTTTTTTTTTATCCAAAAGTCATAGATTATTTACTAAGATACTCTTCTTAAGTTTAAAGACAGTTTATTGGGCAGCCCGGGTGGTTCAGTGGTTTAGCGCCGCCTTCGGCCCAGGGCGTGATCCTGGAGACCAGGATCAAGTCCCACGTCGGGCTCCCTGCATGGAGCTTGCTTCTCCCTCTGCCTGTGTCTCTGTCTCAGTCTCTCTCTGATTCTCATGAATAAATAAATAAAATCTAAAAAAAAAGCTTATTAAAATTACAGATATTTATTTGTTTTAGGCATTAATTTAATACTATAGTGGCATTCCTTTGTTTCATTTTAATTTCATAAAACAGGTTTCTAGAAACAGTAAAACAGGAGCTTATAGAGTAAAAATTTAAAAGGTTAACACCTCAAACCCCACTTTCCCCTCACTACCATTGTTAATAATTTAGAATATAGCTATTCATCCAGATCTTATCCCTATACATGTGTAAACACATTTTCTCTTCTTGTTTTAAATGAGCATCATGTTTTGTGTAATGTTTGTTGTTGACTTAATATTGACTTATTGAAATCATACAGCATAACAGCTTTGTGCTGGGCACTAAAGGACAAGTTAGATGTGGTCTGTGATCTTTAGGAGTTTAAAGTCTAGTGGGAGTAGCTTACTATATCAACAAAAAATATATACCTTATTTTTTTAATGGCTGCATTATACTACATAATATAGCTACATCAATCTTTAATTATGCTCTGTTGATAGAAGTTGAGGTTATTTCTGTTTTTTTACTATTTGAGAAACTACTCGTCGTACATTTTTGCACATATATCTTTGACCATTTGTGTGAATATGAGATTATAGAGTTCTAGTAAGTATTGCAAATGTAGCGAGTGAAAAACTAATTTTAATTTCTTTCTCATGGTTAGAATGCATTGCCTTTTCAGATAGCTTCTTGTTTTTTTCTCTTTCTTAGGGAAATAGATAATTTATTTAACAGCTAAACCTTATTTGTAACTTTACACTATTTCGCTGTATGGTATGAGGCTGCCGTTTGTACTCTTGTCCTGGCCCTATCGGCATTAGAAGTGGGCTCGGGTCGGCCATTGGACCATAATCTCCTCCAGAGGGGCAGCATGTGCAGAACCTCTGCCCCAGAGCGCAGTGCCTGTGGAGCATATGACAAATATTGGCTGTGAGACAAGATGATCCAAGTAAAAATGCATGGTGCAAATGTCTAAATATTAGCTATTATTGTTTGTTTTTTAAGATTTTATTTATTTATTCATGAGAGACAGAGAGAGAGAGAGGCAGAGACACAGGCAAAGGGAGAAGCAGGCTCCATGCAGGGAGCCCGACATGGGATTTGATCCTGGGTCTCCGAGATTGGGCCCTCTGCTGAAGGCAGCTCTAAACCACTGAGCCACCCGGGCTGCCCTATTGTGTGTTGAATAAATGAACAGTACATAGGGCACACAGATGGCTCCATTTTTGTTTCAATATGTATATATTTTTTTCTTTTTGAATATTTTTCTTCATTTCATGTTAATCACCCTTAGACACAATATTTTTGTTTTTTTAAGCTTAAATTACTCAGGGGTCTAGGTGATTTTGGCAGGGTGATAGTCCTCCCATTCAACATCAGTGACAAGTAGCAATGTTGAAGTAACAGTAGAAGCAGTCTTAAGTTTTTCTCTTATGGATGTTTTCAGGCTACAGGAAGGAGATCTGTTTCTATAACAATTTTTTGACATTATTAAGAGACTTTTATGATCTTAAGTGTAGCATATTCCTTGCATCATGCTCATAGCTTTTTAGAGTGTTTTTTGTTTGTTTTTTGGTAGTATGACTAATTTTTCTAGTGAACATTTAACACTATCCTTGCTGTGACAGTTTAATTTCTGCAGTGTTTTTGAATTTTCCTAATTGAATAATTTCTTAAGTATGGATACTTGTTTTCCTTTACTACTTGTAAAGCTTTTATGAAGCTTTTTTGGTATCGTCAAATGGAAATGACATGATTTCATCATAGGTACTGATCTTAATCTTTTAATCATCTTTGATAAGATTGAAGGCTGTTTGATAATATTTTGATGTAGCACTCTGATGTCTTCAGACCCATTGTATAAATAATCTTGAATGATGACATTCCATTACAGTAATGAAGTACAAATTTCTTTCATGTAATTATTAATTTTTCAAAGTGAATAGGTTAAACAAAATATTTATTATTGACCCCCACCAACCTTCATTCTGCCAATCTTGCCAATACATTTTATTTTTTTAGGTGCCCCTCTGGCACCTCAAACTAATAAATACGTTGAAAAAGAATTCATTTTCTTTCCACTTTGCAGGCCCTATAAGTAACACCACAAAGCAGCTGTGTGCCTGTTTTCATATTATTGTGACAGAGCTTAATAGCCATGACAGAAACCATATGGCCTACAAAGCCTAAAATATTTGCTATTTGACCTTTTACAAAAAAAGTTTGCCTATCCCTGTTCTGAAGCATTGAGAAAAATACCAAAGTTTTAGTGCCAAAAGATACTGAATTTTTTTTTTTTAAGATTTTATTTATTCATAAGAGACACACAGATAGGCAGAGACATAGGCAAAGGGAGAAGCAGGCCCTATACAGGGAGCCCAACATGGGACTCGATCATCACATCCTGGGCCGACGGAAGGTGCTCAACCGCTGAGCCACCCAGGGGTCCCTGCCAAAAGATATCTTAAAGTTAAAAATGGAAAACAAAGCCTGTTTTAAAAAGTGGGAATTTTTAATGGCTTATGTTAATGTTAACTTTCAGATTTGCGTGCTCCTGAAGGTGATGCCCCCAATGTAGGATTTGGAAAAATCTTCCCCAAACCTAATTTGAACATCACAGAAGAGATTAAAGAGGACTGTGATGAAATGCCATCAGAATGTATTTCTAGAAGGGAGTTGGAAAAAGGCAGAATTTCTAGAGAAGGTAACTGCATGAAATAAATGTTTATTCCATTTCTTTGATGTGTCAGAAACAACAAATTTCGTGTTCTTTATTTTGATTAAGGCATGTATTTCAACACATCTTTCCGGTTAATGTTTTTAATCACTGCTTTTTGTTTTAATACCCATATTTTGTAGGGAGAAAAGTCTCTCTCAATACAGTGTTTTCGGTTTATTAGGAAAAAAAATTGTTTTCATTCCTAAAACTTTTTATATAACATTAAAAAAAATCAAGTGACCCATTGTCTGGAGTTTTGTGTTCCAAATACAGTGGATATGTCATCATAGTTTTGTGTTTGAGATGCATGCAATGCAGTTTAAAAAAGAATAGTTTCAGTTATTTGGTGGTTAAAAGTCTGTGTTTAAGGATTTTATATCCTAAAGTGATAGATTTTTTTACTTCTAAAGAAATTTTCTGGGCAGCCCAGGTGGCTCAGTGGTTTAGGGCCACCTTCAGCTTAGGGTGTGATCCTGGAGACCCAGGATCAAGTCCCACGTCGGGCTCCCTGCATGGAGCCTGCTTCTCCCTCTGTCTCTGTCTCTGCCTCTCTCTCTCTCTCTCTCTCTCTCTTTCTCTCTCTCATGAATAAGTAAAATCTTGAAAAAAATAAAAAAGAAATTTTCCTGTTTTGTACTTTTTAGGAAGTTATTTAGAGATTGACATCTAACATTATAATTTTTCCTACAAAAATGGGGAATAAACTTCCAATTAACATTTTCGCATAGAACATCAGTTGCCAGGAACTGATTATTGAACTAGCAGTAGCTATATAGGGATCCAGAAGCCACAGTTTATATGAAGTACTTAATTAGGTTTGAGTAATTTATTCTCCTGTTTGACCATTGGTGCCTGGTGGTTTGGGAAATTGACTTTAAGTTAAAAAGTGACACAAACGGTTGATAACGTACTTATCTGCTTCATTTTTTTTTTTTTGCTTCAATCTTTTTAATAAAGTAAAAAGCTTTTATTGTAAAGGAGCTTCAATAGTAGATATTTTATTGGACAAATTTTGGTTATGCTAGATGGCCTGAAATTTTTAAGCTTATTTGCATATTATCAATTCAGATTTTTAATTAGTGTTTTTATTCATGACATTGCTATTAATGGTTATTATGGTTGTGACAGTTTCATAATGCTTTATTTAGTGCTTGTATTTGAATGTTGTTAAAGCTTTTCTTTGAGAAAATTAATGAAAAAATCCTAATTTATATCCTCCTTTTGTTTTGTTTTTAAATAAGAAATGGAAACACTGTCAGTTTTCAGAAGTTATGAACCTGGTGAACCAAACTGTAGAGTTTATGTAAAGAATTTAGCTAAACATGTTCAAGAAAAGGTAAGTTGAAATTTGTAAATTGGCATTATTGTTTTACTTCTTTTTTCCTGAACCTTCTTATTTGTCTTTTTCTTATTAAAATTCTAGGACCTTAAATTTATTTTTGGGAGATATGTTGACTTTTCATCAGAAACACAACGGATAATGTAAGTAGGAGTCATATTCTCAAATTATGTTTTGTTTTTATCTGTTATGAATTAGCTCTTCTTAAATCCCAGCAGTTTCCCTTTAGAGATAATAATTATAGGAAGAAATTGCTCTTATCTGTTACATGATTTTTAGATGTCTAAAGCAGTAGTCCGCAAAAATCTTTGTAAATGGGAAGATAGTAACCATTTCATATTTTTATTTTATTATAGGCCATACAGGGTCTGTTGGATCTACTCAGTTCTATCTTTGTATCATGAAAGTAGGCATTAACAATACACACACTAATATTTATGGCTGAGTTCCCATAAAATTTTATACAAACAGCCTAAATTGCAGCCCTAATCCCCATTTCTAAATTAGTAGTTCTCAAACTTTAACCTGCATAAGAATCACCTGGAGAGCTTGGTACCGTTTCCTAGGCACATCTAGGTTAAGGTAGGGCCTATGAATTTATATTTCTAAAAAGCTCATTGATCATGCCAAAACTGCTGTTTCAAAGATTGCACTCTGAAAACTACTGTTTTAATGACTCATTCAGCAGTATATATAGAATCCAGCAGAATTTTTCAGATTCTTAACCTTGACAGTAAGTTCCCTTCGTTTAATTAGTCTACGTTAAGCAAGGCTCCCGATTTTATGGGTGTAAAAGATAGGAATATGATCTGTAAATGCTATAAAAGCTAATATTTAGAGTTAAAATTTTGTTCTTTAAAATGCCATAGTTAGTTAGCTCCAAAGTATATAAGATCCTTGGCCATATAAGTTAGAAGTAGAGAAAAGTAGAAAAGGTAGAGAGATAGACTTGAGTGGTGGTAAAATGGAGGAGTAACTGGAACTAGTTAGTTTTGTTTTAATCTTTTAAATCTTAGCTAGCCTGTTTATACTCATTAGTGGCAGAAATCTTTCCTTATCAGTCTATCAAAAGTTTCTTTTGCTAGGCATGCAAAATACTGGCCCTTTATTTTTGTTGCTACCTTAAATCATGATTATAAGATACAGAAAAAAAGTATATATGTATGAAATGTTTTACATACATAAATACATACTAGTTTACGTCTGTTTTTTAGTATTGCTGCAATTAGAATTTGAGGGGGAAAATAATTTTATATGGAGAAAGCTATATACATCAAATGATAAATTATAGTTTTCCCAGAATTTTTGAAAAATGAATAATTATGGAATAATAGAACATTATACTTGGAATAAAAAAAAAAATCTGGCTTGTATTTCTGCTCTAGTTTTAGCTATCTGTATTACCTGGAAGCAGTCACTCATAATCTGTAGACATCACCTGTAAAATAATGATTTTTGACTAGATGATCAATAAGGTCCCTTCCCTTTCTACTCTGAAGTTCTGTGTCACTTTTCTGTAGTTCCTTTCAGCCTTTCTATTCTTGGTTATTTGTTTTTTTGTCATGTGAGTAAACAATATTGAGTTGGCTGTATGGAATTTTTTAAACATAGAGATATGAAATAAAGGTTTAAGTTTGCTTTTGTAGTTTGCAGTAGTTTTTAAATTACATAAATACATTTAACATAGCTTAGAAGGATAGATACAAGGTCATTATCAAACTTTTATTACTTAGAATCAATTTTAGAACAGAATACAAAACATAATTTTATAAAGTCTAATGTTTTATTCAGACACAGTCATTTTTACTCTGAAATAGCAAGCATTGGGCAGCCCTGGTGGCTCAGCGGTTTAGCGCTACCTTTGGCCCGGGGTGGGATCCTGGAAACCTGGGATTGAGAGTCCCATGTCAGGCTCCCTGCATGGAGCCTGCTTCTCCCTCTGCCTGTGCCTCTGCCTCTCTTTCTCTCTCTCTCTCTCTGTCTCTCGTGAATAAATAAATAACATCTTTAAAAAAAATGAAATAGCAAGCATTTTAAATGTTTAGTACATTTCTATTCCCATGATCAGAATTATTTGGCATTCTTTAAATCAAAACCTCTTTTTCTTCCTTGACTTCTAGGTTTGATATACGTTTGATGAAAGAAGGTCGCATGAAAGGACAAGCTTTCATTGGACTTCCAAATGAAAAAGCAGCAGCAAAAGCCTTAAAGGAAGCTAATGGATATGTTCTTTTTGGAAAACCTATGGTGGTTGTATCCTTTAAATAATCCATTCCAAAGAAAATGTGTTTTTTAGTAGAAAGGTATACCTGAAACTAATTTTTATGTTATCTTTTAGAAATTTCAACCGCTGGTATTCTAGCTTGAGATACTCCGTTATAAACATACTTAGCTGAGTGACATGGCTGTTGTTTAGACTTTTATTAGAAAATAAAAGAACCTTAGCAGCATGAGATTATTAGAATATCTAAACATTTCATTTATATAGCTCAGAAGTACATTTTTAGGCTAAGCCTAAAAGACTAAAGTATCTACAGGTACAGTTGTAGTCATTAGAAAAGATACAGTTCATTGTAGTTTTTAATGTTTTATTGTAGTATAATTCATATTTCTATTTGGAAATTTTAACCAAAATGTATACTTGGATTAAAGATTCTGCTTCTAGTAGTTAATGCAGTTTGCAAACTAGAAATCAGTGGGATAGATGAAGTGAAGATCCAGGTGTAAACAATGATTATAAAGAAAAAGTAAATTTTTTACTTTACATGCAAATCATGGGCAGCAGACAGGAGGCGCTCAAAAAAAAATATTTGATAGACGGCTGAGAGTAGGAAAACAAATATAAGAGTTAAATTTTAAAAACTACTCCTATCCTACATTAGGAAGTTCTTATTTATCTAGAGAAGATTACTGTCATGTTTGTGAAGAAACCTTAATTTATAAATATTAGCAATTTGCTCGATCTGCTAGACCAAAACAAGATTCTAAAGAAGGAAAAAGGAAGTGTTAAAAATTAGTAAAGGTAAGTGTGAATATAACAGAATAAAAGAACAAGACTTTCTTGAGATAAAGTTAAGGATAAAGCTTGATAGAGTGGTAATTCAGGTATCTTCTGAGGTTTTTAAAAGATAAGATCAGTTGATCCATCTATCCATCCATGTCTGTTTCACTCTATGTCACTATCTCTGCAATCAATTCCCAACAAATTTCAGAATTATAACTACAGAATAAAACCCATCTGTTTTTAAAAGGAAGTTCAGAGAATGAATTTATGAGGGGACTATATGTCTTTGTCCTAAAACTTTTCAGTTTACAGGAAAGCAATGATTCTTAAACTTTAACATGTCTTACAGTCACCTGAAGGGCTAATAAACCAGTTTGCTAGGCTTCCCCTCACCCTCACCCAGAGGTTCTGATTCAGTAGGTCTGGAGTAGGAGCTTTGTGTCATCAACCATGCCAATTTTCCTGTGCTGAGACTGGAAAGCCAAGACAAATTGGTTGCTCTTAATGGGGCCTAGGAATTTGCATTACTAATTACACATGTCACAGAAATGTTTACATATTTTTTGTGGAATGAAATCTTTTGCTTTTTATAGGAGTAATTTAAATGCATACTTACGTAATTTAATGATTAAAATAACAGAATTAACCATTTTAAACTTCTAAGTTTGTGTAATTGACTTAACAAGTAGAAATATACCTTTTATTTTAAAATCTTTCTACCTTTATAAACTGGAAAAACATGAAGTAACTCAGTCAACAGTACTGATGTTAAGCTGAAAAAATTGTATAACTAAATAAGGGAAAATTTTGCTTAATGTTATTCCTTTTGTGAAATGCCTTGAATATTTGAATTTTATGAAGTATCTATACTGATTGAATCAGAATTCTTACGAGTACCTTAGTGGAACAGTTAGAATAACAATTTTCAGTGTGTGTTTAAAAATATCATTTATAAATCTAATGTAAAAATTGAGAAAAAAATTAAACTGCATTCTGCTGTTCTTCTTTAGAAGCATTCCTGCGTAAATACTGCTGTAATACTGTCATACAAAGTGTATCCTTTCTTGTTGTATCCTTTTTGGGGCAGTGTTTTCTGTTTTTCCTAGAAATGTTTTGTCCCTCCCCCATTGATTCAGATTAAGCAATATTTTTTTATAATTTATTCAGAAGAGATATTTCTAAAATTATCAGTGTTGATTGGACAAATCATTTATGTCCTTTTTAGATCTGCTGTGAATTTTCTGTGCTATTCTTGAGGTTATGTAATTTTTCCAGGGAAAGTTAGTGAATCAGGTCAACTTATTTACTTGGAGAATGTATTAATCTGTTTTAACACAGAATTTAGTCTTGTTTCTTTCTTATATTTATGTATTTCCTAAACCTAATTCAGTAACACATGCTTTCTGTTTTATGATGTATCTGGCTTAGGTGTTCTATATAACATGTTGTAAAATTTGGAAAAAGGACTTTTTTTCTTTTAAAAAAGTATATATACTGAAAAAAACTGAATTTCTTTGTAAATTCCAAGTAAGAGAGCAGACCTCACATCTGAGGTTTTATTATTGGTATCTCCTTTGAGATAGCAAGTAGAAGTATTTTTTTTTTCCCTCTTTTTCTAAACAAAACTAAAGGAATAAGAAAAGAGGAACAGAGGGAAGAAGACATAATGTTGACTCAGGGTAGCACATTAAGTGGAACAAAAAAAAAAAAAAAACAACAGTCCTGGTAGGTATATGTAGTAACAATGGTTTCCAGACTGGTTGATTACCAGAATTCCCCGAAACCGTGATTCTTAGTCATGACCACATTTTGGAATCACCTGGGAAACTTAAAAAAAAAAAAAAAATGATGATGAAATAAAAGGCTAAAAATGTACTAATGCCTAGGTTTCTCCCCATTTTGATTTAACTAGTCTGGTGCACAGCATAGATACTGGAATTTTTCAAACCTCCTAATGTGTGACGAAGGTTGGGAACCACTGAAGAAGGATTTTTAGATAGATTCCTGGACACTCTCCTAAAACTAATAAATCAGAATTTCTGGTAATGGGACCAAGAATCTAATTTGAAAACATTTCTTTAGTAATTCTAAGGGATGACCAGTTTGGATACTAGTTTGTTAGAGTAAATGGTTAGATACTTAATGCCAACCTAGTCATTCAACCTCCTGTAAGTAGGAAAATCAAGAATTGGAGCCTCTGCACTTCTTGCAAATCCCGCTATTGCTAATACTATGAAAACAATGAAAAAGTCTGTTAGTAATTATTGTCACATTAAGAATACAAAAAATTACAGATACTGAAATTGCTATTTTTATAGAAGTTAAAATGTTTTATTTTTTAATGTTTTAATCAGTTTCCTTATAAGCAATTTATTTAGACAATTAAAAGTTTGTAGTACTGACATGATTCACTAATTTTCTAAATATGAATGCTTTTAGTTATTTTAAAACCAGTGAACTGTTTTATAATCATTATTTTTAATGAGTTCTTATGGTATTTTAGGTTCCTTTTGATTCCGTGTCTTCCAACTGCTTTCCAAATTTAAGGAGAAGAAAATGACACCTGGTCTATGGAACTGTGCGTACCAGCTTTTAAAGTATATTTAAAAGTTAAAATCTATATGCATTAAATCAGTTTATTGGAGATATATTACATGTATTTTAATCATCTTCCTCATATATAATAAATTATTTTCTTTCCAATAAAATATTGTTCTTAATTTTTCTTTATGTTTAATACATTTAGAAAGTATAATTTGATAATCACATAAAATTTTTGAGGTAATTTTACAATACTAAATAGAAATTTTCTCTTATGATTACAGATACTGCCCTTTTTCATTACCTGGATACTAATACACTTAAACATAGTCTTTTATAGTAATGTTATTTCTTATATTTATTTATGGAGTGGTTTTATTTGGCTATGAGGCTTTTGTTTTTTGTTGTTTTTTGTTTTGTTTTAGTAGTAGTAGATTTTCCCCACTTTAGGAAATTTGTATTCCTACCCTAATTTAGTCTTTTATTTTGGTGCTCCCAAATCTATTAGATTATCATGTAAAGGTGTAAGTGTTTCTCCTACAAAAGTATTGGTATCTTAGTGAAATTAGTTTTAGCTATGTGTTAATAAGAAAACTTTGCATATTAATAGTGTCCTATGAGTATATAATAATTTCACCAGAATCAATGCCCAAAGATTTGGTCTTTGTTGGAATGCTGTTGTGAATCACAGCTTCTTCCTCATAGTATTGTGAAATAAGGAAATTGGGAATTTTAAAGATAGGAATTACGAGAATGGAGAAGTGAATCCTGTAACAGCTCATTTTTAGATGTCAATATATAGACTGAGGACTAGGAATATATATAGACCAAATGAAAATATCTCAAGTAGGAAGGGGTGGTGAAATACGTCAGATCTGTTCTTGACAGACCTCTCCTTGACAAATTGGTTTGATGGATGGAAGAAATGAGAGGAGATATTAAAGAAAATATTAGGAATTTAATATAGTGAGAATTGAAGACAACTGTGTTAGAGAGCAGCCTTGCTCTCAGGGACACACAGTATCAAAAAGGTTTTTTTTTGTGTGTGTTTTGGGTTTTTTTTTTTTTAAGATTTTATTTATTCATGAGAGAGAGAGAGAGGCAGACACATAGGGAAAGGGAGAGACAGGCTTCTTGTGGGGAGCTTGATGTGGGACTTGATCCCAGGACCCTGGGATGGGCATGTAAACGGCTCATAATTTAAAGATGGGCATGTAAACGGCTCATAATAGCAATGGGAGAAAGGACAGATTGTGTAGGTCTAGATATTTGTAGTTTGCTAGGTACATAGTAGGAGCATGTAAAACTTCCTATTTTTTCAGTGAAACACAAGCAAGGTCACAGAGGGAAGGAGTATTGGATTGAGGAAAGAAAAGAAAGTGTAAAATAGATACTTGGAAAAGTGGTAAAGACATTCTTACAAGGATGGCTAGACAATACTTAAAGTGGTCATTGAAGTCTGTTGTTAATTTAAGTGATAGTAGACAAATTACTTTGTGTTTTTCTCCAGTTATGTTTAGCCTTGATGCTATCACTGAGTAGACAGTTGAATTTAATAAAAGTTGGAGTTTACCTAGATGAAGACAACAAAGCGGGAGAAAGGAAAAGGTGTTGATGTATTCAAGAGAATGATTATAAAGAAAAGACATAAAGGTCTGGGTAAAGAGCAAGGTGAGAAAATGAAGGTTGAGATACAGTGGAGAAATGATAATCATCAGTTATAGATTGCAGTATGATTGAAGATATATTGGAATTATTTACTAGAGATAGGATGTAGAAATTTGGGAGATTGAAATAAGAGAATAAGGTGACAAATTGACAAAGGTAGAGAGAATACAGTAATTAATGACTCTAAATTCCAGGGTGTGAACATGGTAGTTGAGTGAAGAGTCATGGAAAGAGGTGAAATTAAAGAAATTGAGAAACTTGAGTATTAAAAGGATCATCTAAGCGGATTTTGAAATTATTAAGAATTATGACAGGAATAGTGAGCCAAGATCTAAATAAAATTATTCCTTAGAACATGTAATTCTGTTAGGTATGCCAAAACCCGTATTTAAAAATAACAATTTATAAAATCCCTATGTGTCTCCCTCTTTCTACAGAGACAAGAAATTCAGCCTAATTTACTGAAAACTAGTGTATGACTGTGGTTTTGTAGGTGTAGATTCTAACATTAGATGTTGTTTCTAAGGTTTATTGCTTTGTGGCCTTGGGCAAGTTCTGTCAGTGCCCAAGGAGATAATCATGATACTTATCTTAGGGTTATTGTAAATATGATTTGATGAATGTAAAGTACTTAAAACAAGTATGATAATGTGTGTATGTAAGTGTGTGTAGTCAAGTTCTTTAGTAAATATTAGCTCTTGTGATGGTTGTGGTTGGTTCTCAGCTCATACTAATTCCAAAGGTGGTATAAAGATTTTGGTGTCTCAGACAAGATTTCAGTCATTTTTCCACTGTGATGACCAGCACTTCTCTTAGTTCTGAGGGAGGAAAATTTTCCTTGATTTATTCAAGGTTCTTTAGTCTAAAAATTAAATTGACATGACATGTAATTCATAATTTCAAGATATGTGCTTCTTCCAATAAATCTTTCAGTAAAGCACAAGAAAATATTTACTATCAGATCCAAATTTATCTTTAGTTTCTCTGCAATAATGAAGCCAAATTTGAACCTATAATTTCAATAGTTAATGTTTGGGTTTTTATCATATTTGGAAGTGATTTATTAGACTTCCATGAATTTAACTTATCACTTAGTAAAACTTAGGTTTCAGATTACCGAAAAGGTTTGAGATTCATATTTTAAAAGTTTACCCAAAACCTTTATATACTTAATTTATTGGTTCTTAGCAGTTATGTGTAGGTTATCCACAAAAACTTGATGAGACATCAGAGAAAGTCAGACATTATTGTAAATTTGTTTTGTTTGGGGTTGACAAATTTTGCTAGAGATAATTTGAACTTACTTTCAGTAAACCCAGGCAGAATAAAAGTATTATTTTAATGCTGATAACTCTAAGGACACGTCTATTTTAATTAAACCAACAACGTTGTTAGCTTTAATACTGAATATTTTCCCAGCACACAGGAACTTGAAATTCATTGAATTGAGTTTCTTTTTTTTATTTTTGAAAAATTTTATGAATTCAAAACTTTATATAAGTGCTTAATTTTCTTTAAGCCAATTAAATAGAACTCTTTTACAAATTAATTTTAGCAGTTCTAACCAGAGGTGGAAAAATGCCTAATATCCACAATAGACATACTGACAGATGCAGAACTCTTACTGTTAATTAATATTTGAGGAGAAAAAAGGCAGGAGAACCTTTTGCAGTTCGTATTTTTTAAAAAGACCTTCCATCTTTTTTTCTTTTACTCAAGCAATTATGGGCTGTGTTTATACTTCAGAGATAGAAGATTTATAACTTTAAGGGACAGAGAAAGAATGTAATATAAGTTGTGGGTTTTTTTTTTTTCCCTAAGAATTATAAGGTAATTGCTATTTAGAATTTACTTTCCTTAAGTACAGGATAATTTTGTTTCAGTAACCTGATTTTTTTGTAATATCTATAAGTGTTTTGAGACGAATAGATGAAGTTTTGGGATTGATAGAGATGTGGGGAGCTTTGATTTGCATTTCTGGTTTTGTAGAGATTTGCCAGGCAAAGTTGTTTCTCATTCCCATGAAGAGCTGATTTATAGCCTGAATATCAAGAGATTGATCAGCCTTTTTTAGAGCAAGATTTCCAACAAATGTAGAAATCAGAAGGTTTATATCTTTGTAAAAAAAAAAAAAAAAAAAAAAAGGAATCTGTATAAAGCATTTTAACAAAAGCCAGTCCAGTCTTGGCTTCTGTTAGCCCCTGAATATCAACCTTTGCTGTTTGTTTGTAGCAGGGCCAGAAAAAATTAGTGTCATCTGTTTCTTTTGTAGTGGGGAGGATATGAAAAGCCGCTAATCTTTCCAATTTCTCTGTAAATTTGGTGGGAACTTCTGAAAGTGGAGGTAAAAATGGGCTTTATAATTTATAAGATTCGTTGCTATCCAAGAGACACAAAATTTTTTCCCTCCTGGGTTGGGGGTGGGAGGTCCAGGGTACATCTGCAAAGGACATGGCATAAGAATGCCTAAAACTGGCAGAGCCTGATTATAGAGCTTTGGAAAGTAGGAATTGTAAGAAATAGCAAAGTAAGTCCTATTACTTGTCTCCAGTGCTTCTATTAAATTTACTTCATGAATTTTATTTTATTTATTTATTTTTTTAAAAAGGTTTTATTTATTCATGAGAGACAGAGAGAGGCAGAGACACAGACAGAGGGAGAAGCAGGCTCCATGCAGGGAACCCAATATGGGACTTAATCCTGGGACTAGGATCACGCCCTGGGCCAAAGGCAGACCCTCAACCGCTGAGCCACCCAGGCGTCCCTCACTTCATGGTTTTTAGCATTCACATGAGTAACCTGTATACTTTAAATCTAGAGTTTAGGCTGGCGTGCTCTCTCTAAATCTTGTAAGGAAGGGTAAGTTAAAACAGGCAGATGGAGCTGGTTTTTAAGAAGGGAATTTACCTTGGATGTGAACATCAGTTTTTCTCTTAAGTCTAACTTCTGTTCTTTCACCTTGTCAAGGAAGTCCCTAAGGCTAGTAGATACACTAGTAAGACAGTTGAGAGCTCTGTATAAGGATTTTTTTCTTTGAAATGTAGCTAATTTAAAGGATTTATTGTCTGACCATTGATAAGTAGGATCTTACTAATTTTTTTTTACATTTTTTTAATTTAAATTCAATTTGGCAACATACAGTGTAATACCCATTGGTTATCTCATCACATGCCCTCCTCGTTGCCCATCACCAAGTTACC